GATTTATTAAAACAGTATCTGTTTATTTTTAAAATTGACGAAGTGAAAAGGACACTGAAATGTAAAATAAAAAGTAACTTCTTTTTTTCTAGCATCGCATTTTACCGAGCTTCAAGTTAGAGACTTCATGTATTGCCAAAGGATTATTCAAAGGCTCTCCCTACGTTCACCAACTATTGGGTAGAAAAAAGCTTGTTTTCCGAATTTATCGTACGAACGAGAGACCGGTATGAGCCGGTATGAGAAGAGTATTTGTGAAAAATATTTAAAAGCCTATGTATGGCACACAAGTTTCGGACTCTGTGAAATCGCATTGCTGCATTCGTTGCTGGGACCTGCTTTCCGTCAGTGCCTCGACGACCGTGTCGTCTGCGAGGCGGCGCAGCAGCATGTGGCACTCGACATGCAACAACCATACCATAATGACGACGGTATGCGCTACATGTATTGTATGCCTTTTAGTTATCGAAAATATCGAGCCATATCGTCTCGAACATTTTGTACCTGCACTCTTCAATATCCTTCTCTGGTATTTGCTCAGGTGTCAGTGCACGCAAGTCTTCCTGTTGCTTCGTGTTCATTGCGACCTTTAGGTAGGTTTCAAACCACTTTACAATGAGAACACCGCAGTTGTATCCATCTTTCTGCAGCCATGAAGACGAGTATTTGAACCTAAACTTGAACGCAGGATCGATCAGCGGGACCACGTAACTCTTCATGATCCTTTCAACTTCGTCGATATAGTCAAGTTTTTGTTTCGGATCATAGATCCAGATCGAGCAGCTTCGGAAGTCGACAATTGCGGCACACCAATGTGGCACGTCCACCGAAATGTTTACGGGGAAAAAAAACGATGCGTCCATTGTCACCTTTGTTAGTATGTGCTTGTCCATGTCAATTAATCTTTTTCGATCGACCTCCAATTCAAAACCGAGAAAAACGGAGTCCACAACCAATACTTCAGTAACCCCACCTCTGTTTTTACCAATCGGTTGTGCTTGTTTGACCGCGTGTAGTGCCGCAACAAATATACACCCGTCGCACAGCCAGTTTTCACCCGCAAACCTAGTTAGATCTTGAAACTGAACAATTGTTTCTGCGATCCGAGACTTGAATGCGGAATACATATTCAAAGTAGGCAGCGTGGAGAGAATGCTCTGTTGCACACCACTTTCCGGCTTTGATTGAACCCACTTGATCAAGTCTCGCGTGCTTTTGATTCTCTTCGAGAGAGTATGCCAATCCTTCATAGTATTCACGTCTTGTAGTGAAAAGACCCCCACGCCCAAAATATGCACTCCAATTTCGCCTAGTGTGGGTGTCTTCTTGCTGGCAGTCTGTTCTCGAAACAGTGCATTTTTTGCTGCTGCTACTGATTTGTCCACCAGAACTTCCGGGATGACATACCGAATGTTGATTTCAACTTGCAGCTCTTCTCCACGTCTTTTCAAGCGTGCCTTTGGCCGTTTATATATGGCCCCTCCAAACATCGGGCGAATAGCCGAAAAGACTGGGCGAGAGACAACTTTTTTTGGTCAACATGTTCACGAAGCGTTGTAAGTGTTATGTCGCCAACAGTTGTCAACTGCTTCGAAAGGGTCTTGGTTTCTTGAAGCTCTTTGCGCGCCTTGGCATTTTTTGTTGCTTTCTTCTCCTTTGGTCGTCCTGCAGGGTTGCTGGCTGGATTGAGTAGAATGATCGGGGTTTTAACTGCACCAGTATTCTCAGAAGCCATATCAAGCCGTCTTCGCGTTGTACGCGTTGTATCGCTGACTGAGTTCGTGGCAATATCACCAATCCCAAGCGAACTGGATGCACATTCACCATTGCCATTAACTTGCGGGACTATCACTTTGGAACCAGGCGTACCGGCATCCACTGAATTAGCGATTATTTCGCCAATATCATCACAATTTGCGACAACCACACTTGATTTGGTGATTTCTTCACTAACATCAGGAGAGCTGGTGACTTCTTCACTAACATCAGGAGAGTTGGTGACTTCTTCACTAACAAGAGGAGAGTTGGTGACTTGCTCACCAATTTGAGGAGAGTTAATGACTCGCTCACCAACGGTCAGGGTCATCGTGGTTTCTGAGAGGTCAGGGACAGCACCATCGAGCCTGGCAAGCGATTCCACTTTCGTTAGGTAGTTTATCCACTTGTGGAAGCTCCGCGATCCTTTATCAGAGATAGTTTCTGCTATTTTCTGGCAAACTGCAATCCCAGCGCGATACTTTTCGTTGTGATTTAGGACACGAGTAGACGGAGCTTCGACATCTTTCACAGTAAAATTTGGCACAGTATCTTCAGCTTCGTCATTATCGTCTTCTTCTTCAGCAATTTGCAATGTACGATAAAAACTGCAGCTGCACTGATTTTTCTCCACACTGACAGCATACGTGACATTTGACTCTACACGGGTCAAGCTTACGAACGACGGCCTTAATTTGTCGTTGGAGGTGTCGTATGTTAGCTGTCCACTAAGCTTGTATTCATCCTCTACCAAATCACAAGCGTGACGGGTAGCAAGCTTCGCCAACACGCTCATTTCCTCGTCGTAGTGAAGGTTGTAACGGCAACCAACGCGGTTCACTTTCGTCCAGCACCCATCTTCCGCGGCTTGTTGCAAGAAAAGTAAGTGGTCTATGCATTCGTCCATTGCCATGTGCCAATTTAAAATGCCCTTAGCGGCACCCCAGCTTGCCTCTAGACGGTTGTTTGTGTTATTGTCGAGATGAGTAATATTACCACGCTTAAACATGCACCACAAATCCTTGCAGTTCCACCAATTCTCTTCGAGGTAATCCATGAAAGCTAGCCTCGTTGCACACAACTCCTTCAACGCATAGAGATAGTGATCAAAGGACTCTTCAGTCTCAGCACGCACCATCAGCGTCACCAAATTTTTCACGTGAGTCCTCTCAAAGTTCGTAAATCCATAGTTCTTCTTGCTCACCTCTCGTTTAAGGTAGTCGATGACGTGAAAATGACACAAAATCACAACAGCGTCCGGAAACGCATCCTTCAACAATGCGAGTTCAGTGAAATCCTTGTCAATGATTATCACTCTGACCTTCTTCCAAGCGGGATTGTTTTCCTTGAATGCAGACACAGCACTTTGCATGTTGGACCTGCTCTCTCCATCGATAATGGCGTGTTGGGCAAATGCACCACATCCAAACTTGTCGGTGACCATAAAGCTAAATAATCGATATCTATATGCGCACATAACATAAAAATTGGTGATTAGTCAACCAACAATCCACGAGTTTGTGATCGCAAAACCAATTATGCGTACCGATTGATGTTTGTACCGTATGTAGCGTCGATACACACTGCCTCTGGAAACTTGCGAGTCATTCGCCTCATGAAAGCCGTTTGAAAGGTGATGCATGATGTCAGACCTGTTTGTTGGTCTCTGAACACGTTGACAGCGTTTCCAGGACCTTCACTGAAGTCTTTAAGTAGCTGCGAGACGCGCACGTTATCGTCCTGCGATGTGTAGGTTTCTCTCCGCATCTTCGCTATAAGGTTCTCCACGTCTTTAGGCAAGATAGGTTTCCCAGAAACCTCCTTAAGATACCGCAATATCTTCTTCTTTTTCGACCCGCCTGCATAGTACGTTTAGACACACGCTCAGGTCTGTAAGCAAGATCAACACTGTACCTTGTACGAGAGTTTTCACAACGCCTTTCGTGGCGGGGGAGTTGACTCGTCGAGCTTCTGAATACGAATAGTACACGGCAGGGCCGACGGCGTGGTTGTGGCTTGCGTAAATTTTCGAAACGCGAACTTGGAACAGTCCATCCTTCCCCTTCACCAAGTTGGCGCTCAGTTTAGCCTGGCACTGGATTGCCCGGATAATGTGGTTAGTCCGCTTTCCTTGGCCTCTTGGCTTGAACTGCCAGCCGTGTGTGCAAATGAAATACACCGCATAATTGCCGAGGGATACGTCCCATAGCTCAGCAGTAGATTCTCGTCTCGCAGCCTGCTTGGTGCGAGCTTTGTTGCGGTCTTTGACTGAAACGGTGGAGCGAATCTTGTATAATTGGTGTGTCTCCTGCTGATAGCTGAAGGAAGCATAGCGATACATTAGTGCACACCGTTCATTAATTCAACAATGCACAACTTCATGTTTACCTATCAAAGGCATCTTGAAATGCTTCCCAACACGAAAATACGCCTTGGAATTGGCGGAACTCCTGCATGGGCTCCGTAGCCTCCTCCTTCTCCTCCTCCTTCTCCTCCTCGCGCTTTCTCTTCTTGGGCGTCGCAGCAGACATCGTAGCGATAGAAGGAGGTGAGCTTTAATGGAGCGCGGCGAACCGGGGGGGGTGTGGGGCGAATGAAGCCAGGTCCTTCTAGCCGCTCGATTTTTTTAAAAATCTGAATTCAGAACTGAACCGCTAATACCGAAGCCGTCGGTATCCCAGTTTGTAGTTTTCCCTGCCTTTTTCTACCCAATAGTTGGTGAACGTAGGCACTTCCTTATTCAAAAGCAAGTCGACCAGCTGTCAAGTCTAGTGTAATTGTGAAAAATTTCCATATATTTCCAAAATTAAAATATCCGCTCTGCCCCACCAGCTAGTTCATCTGCTTAAAATGCTATCATTAAGATCCATCAACGAGATGTCAGCAGCCATCAATTTCAGCTTCACTTCTTACGAAATGACGTCTCTAATATACCGTTAGAACAAACCAGTTCTTGTCCCCGAAAAATCCGAGTCCGTAAATGGACACGTCCCAGGCTCCCACAATGCGCAGCAGCAAAAAAAACAGATTCGAGACACAACTTTCGGCACGATGAGACTACCGAGACTCTCGTTGATATCCTCCATACTTCTGCTCGCACAAGTCCACCACAGCTTGGCTGCTCGAACGAAAAGACCGGACAACCAGTTAACAACGCAGTCGGGTCTTAAAATGTGGGTGGACCCGACACCCCACAAGAGCGTTATACTTGGAAAACGTCACGCGGCGATACCTGGGATTTGGTGATGAGTGACGAGTTCAATACTCCCGGGAGGTCCTTTCGACCAGGAGACGATCACTTGTGGACGTCCATCGAGAAACCGGACGGTGTGAACGACGCAATGGAAGTCTATGCACACAACAAGACAACGACAGTGTGTGACGAGGTCCACGACGTTTGTAGCTTCCAGATTGAGCTGGAAGACTCCGTTCTTCAGCTCCAAGTCTGGAATAGCTATCTCCAAACGCCAGGCTTTGAGAACGTCACCTTTGTAAGTTCCATCGCCCTGAACTGTGTGAAAGTTAAAAACATCTAACCAAATGTTTCTTTTGGTATGTCAGTTCTATCGCGGAGGTATGGTGCAGTCGTGGAACAAGTTTTGCATCCAAGGAGGTATGGTCGAAGTTCGTGCTCAACTCCCAGGAGCTCTTTCTGAGGAGTCTGGAAACCCAGACATTCGTCTGGACGAGAGCGCTCGAGTTCGATCTCTGCGCTATTACCCGACATGGCCTGGGATCTGGATGATGGGGAATCTCGGTCGTGCGATCTTCAGCGGATCAACGAACCGGATGTGGCCATTTTCCTACGATGCCTGCGACCCGGATACATTCACGCCAGCCAACCAGCGTATTAACGCATGCGAGTCGCATCCAGGCTCTGGACTTAACCCTCACCAAGGACGTGGGGCGCCCGAGATCGATATCGTCGAAGGTGGAGGCACCACCATCTCGGCGTCGATCCAAGTGGGGCCAGGCATGCCGCCGGACTTCCGCGTTATCCCACCGGAGGACGAGAACAAGCTCTGCATCTACTCCAGCTCGTGCGAAACACCAGGTAGCAACGTCCCAGGCATCCCCGAGAGCGTGTATCTAAGTGCACGTGGCCACCCATCGTGGTATCAGAACATGCGCTACGCTGCAAACAATTTCTGCCTACAAAACGTGAGCGAGACGCAGCGCTACACCACCGTGCAAGCCGCACTGAGTGCCGGTATCGAAGACAACGTATGCTCCGTCACCACGTGTCCAGCCTCCCTCGATATCAGCTCGGATCTCGACTATATCCATGTTGAAGGTGACGATCGCTGGGGGATCAACTCGAACGGCACGTGCTTCTCGGCCATGAACTCGTACATGGGCGAATTCATCTGTAGTGCTGGCAACTCCGACCCGAGCTGCCACCCTCGTGACGACGCGCCAGTGTTGCCCCAAGACGACTCGAGTTTCGCCTTTCAAATGGACGCCTTGTCTGCGAACTGGCCCGTGCACATGGCAGCATACACTGACTGGGTGCAGTACCAAGTCGAGTGGGTGTCGGGTCCACATGGCTGCGTGCGTTGGATGCTGTCAGGTGAGCCACTGTACGAGATTCCAGCCAAGACGATCACGGAGCCTCCGCAAGGAGCGAGCGTCAAGAACCCGAGCAAGATCATGATCGAGGAGCCCATGTATCTCATCTTCAATGTAGCCATGTCGAGTAAGTGGGGAGCGCAGCCACCCAACCCCAAGAATGTCTGTCGTGGCGACGGACTGGACCCCGTCGCGAACGCCATTTGCGACGCCTTCCCCATGTACCTGAAGCTCGACTACATTCGCGTGTACCAAGATCTGTCCCCTGGCTCACTCATGAGTGTAGGCTGCGATCCATCGACACACCCGACGCGTCGGTGGATCCTGGACCACCTCGACGAGTACGAAGATGAAGAGAATAAACTTGTGGAGGTGCGCGGCAAGGCCTTCTGTCGTACGGACGCGGACTGCACTGTCCAAACCGCTCACCGACGAGCCCACGGGCCGAGATCGACGTTTGTCCGGACAGGGAGATGCCTCAACCGGCGCTGTGAGTGTGTGAGTAAGTCGTGGGCCGGGCCACGGTGCATTGTGCCCACGACGTCCAGCGGCGTGTCGTTTGGCCCTCCCCTCGTTCTGGCGGCGTGTATGGGCGCGCTGTTGTTCGTGCTCGGGGTCGCTTCGAGTGTTGCCATTTGCTTCGCGCGCAAGAAAGACGCGGAAGCTGTGCAGACGGAGCGGAAGGTGAAGCAGCAGCAGCGACAGCAGTACGAACGCATGCGACGCCAGTCGAGTCAACATCTCCAGAGCGCTTGGTCGTCCGAGATAAGTCTCTAGCCATGTAAAGAAACTCAAGAGATGGTGCAATTGGGCTGTTTGGACGACTGAAAAGATACCAGTTGCATGTGTTTCCCTTCTGTTGGTCGAGTGCACATAGTCAGCTGGACATTTACCCACGAGAGCGGTCGTGCTGAGTCCTCGAATGTTGTCGCTGTCTTCACTGAAGCTCGCAGTCTTTGGCGTGGTAGTTGTCCACCACGAGCCAGTAGCTTCACGTCGTCCTGTAGTAATTTACCATTCCAGACGCGAAAGTCGTCGAGGATACCGTGGAAGCCATACCAACCCACGTAGGAAGGGCGAGGGACGTGCAGACTACCAGCTGTGATGCATCCCGTGCCGATCTGCTCATGAGTCAAGTATCCCCACTCGTTGTGAAATGTACCGGTACTCGAATGGACCTTAGCGCCGTCCAGATACACGTCTTGACTCTGCGTTTCGTTGTCGTAGGTCAGTGCGAGGTGATACCAGCGATTTGAGTCCAGCTTCGTCGCTACTACAGGTCTCGAGTCCAAGATGGAGCAGTACAGATCTCCAGTAGAGCTCACAAGTACGAACTGTTGATGGAAGTGTGGCCAGCGTCGACTCTCCCGACTGGACGACTGCAGGCCGTAGATAATGCCACCAAACGCTTCTCCATCCGCTGCTGGCATCAGACTGAACCAAAGGTCGAAGCTGAAGCTCTCGCTGCCCAGAAAAGTCAAGCGGAAGCGAGACGGGTGTGGCTGTTCACGTCCAGCACTTGCCAAGTACGCGTACGAGTCAATGTGTCGATCATCGTTACCTTGCAGGCCCCTGAACACCATCGACCGCGACGTCATGTACTGTTTCTTCCAGATCGGATCTAGATCTGATACTGTTCTAGATTCTAAAATTTGCTTCCAGATTTCTTCGTCTCTAAAATACGTCAGCCACCAGAAGTTCGTGTGCGACAAGTGGAATGCATCAAACCCAGTCAAGTTAGCTGCACAGCAACTCGACTGCATCTGCTGGTAATTGTTCCGGTCTCGTAATGGCAAGTCGACTGCTCCTACTCTGCGTCGCCATGTGCAGTTGTGGCCCTTCTCTCGGCCTTGAACAGCGAACAGCGCAGACATTCCACCTGAGCCCTCGTGACGAACCTGTACCCACTTTCAACGAACTTATTAAGTGTTTCTCCACTACGTCCTCGCCACTAGATAAAGTGGCTACATCTTCTGCCGACAGCAGCCCACGCCACACTCGAAAGTCGTCTATAACCCCATGAAAGCCATACCATCCCAAGTGTCCTGGCTTGGGGAAGTGAAGTTCATTGGCTGTAATGCACCCCGTTCCAACTTGTTCGTACTTAAGGAAGTCCATCTCTCGGTGCAACGTTCCTGTGTCAGATCGAAGCTTTTCTCCATCAAGATACACGTCTTGACGGTGCGTTTGATGGTCGTAAGTCAGAGCGAGATGGTACCATCTTCCCACTTGGAGGTTGCTCTTGACCACGGGGCGATAGTCGAGTACAGAGCAGAATAAGTCGCCTAAGGCGCTTATTACTACGAACTGCTGGTGGAATTTTGGCCACACGCGGCTCTCGGCGTGCACCGACTGGAGGCCGTAGAGGATACCGCCCGTGTACGCTCCGTCAGTCTGCTCCGGTAGCAGGGCGAACCAGACGTCGAAGCTGAAGCTCGTGTCTCTGAGACTGAATCAGAAGTTCTGACACTGGAATCAGATTTTATCAGACCTTTGAAGCCCAGCGATGACTGCGAAGGAATAAGGCCTTGTACGCGGCGGCGTGCAGCGGGTCAGCGAGAGTAGGGAGCTTTGATTGCCAGTAGGAAGAAACGCTGAGGTGTTGAAGCCAGAAGGAGCTCGTGTGGGACAGCGAGATGGCGTCCAGACCCGTTAGGAAGCTGCAGATAGCGGACGCTGCAGATGCGGGCAGTGCCATTGGCACGTGGAATCAGATACCGGTACAACCGACAACGGTTGTACGAAGGTTGTGCCTTACATGTGCAACAAGGATTTTAAACTTGGCATTTGTAAGGAAGGCTAAACGAAATGCGATTGGCTACAAACAGTGTAGACTCTAGTTGGTAGTAGTTATGGCGTCGTCGTCGTCAGTCCTGCGTCTGTACCGCGAGATGCTGCGCAATGCAGCCAAGTTCGAGGTGCGTGTCGTGTGGTCCTGCGTCTGTTAACTCTGTTGCAGATTTTCGCTGCTGCCATCTCGCCTTCTATCCAGCGAAACTTAGATTAAACTAAACCATGTATCTGCTGATTTTGGACTAAAACAGACCTACAACTTCCGCGCATACGCCACACGCCGCATCAAGGAGGATTTTCACAAGAACAAAACACTGAAATCTGGCAGCCCCGAACTGGAGAAGACGCTACAGCTTGTGCGTGAGCAAGTCGACGTGTTGGGCCGCCAGGGAATCGTTTCGAAGCTGTATCCACCTCATGTGAAGAGTGTTATGGAGACACTGAGCAAGTAAGGGTACATAAACAGTTTTGAACTCTGTTATCGTGGAAGCAATGGCGAGCTTTGCCCAGTATGTTGGACGTGCTCGTTTTCGCCGTGTTAAGCTTGTGTGTCTATGAGGCTGATAGTGGCGAAGGCTAGCAGCGGTCTGTTGATTACTGTAAATTGCCGCCAAGAGGTCGTTTCACGGCAGCCGACGAGAACGTGCTCAACTCTATCGAATTAATAAGTTTCGTTCCGAAAACGACTTTTTCGCACGCTTTTCGACTATTTGCTGAAGTACCTATTGCCTCAGCACAACTATTGTAGTTAAGAGTTAGAGAACCACTTCAGGCGATTGTTTTGTTGGTTTTGGAAGGCGTCCACTCTCTGAGAAAAAATGTTTTGGAGATTAAAAAAAATTGATATTGATACTACATAACACAGCTACTGTACGTGTAGATTTAAAAGTTTGTCAATAATGCAGTCTCATTCTTCTTGCAGATGCTGTGTCGCTACTTAGTGTTCGCAAGAAATACTGTTCAAATACCAGTTGATAACTGTTTGAGTTTTGTAAAGAGCTGACATATTTGATAGCTAAACGTACATGAGATGTATTGATAGTCGTCTTAATTGCTAGCATAATGTTGCCGGGGTAAATTAGTAGAATGATTTATAGCTAAGCTTATAAGACGCTTAACACACTTACCTACCACGTTAGTGTACAGTAGAAATCGTCAGCGGGCTACACAAGTCCTAGTGCATTAGTAGTTTGCATAGTTTAAGCTCACTACAAAGCTGTTCGCCAGAAATAAATAAATAAAAACCGTGTAGGTGTCTCACACTTCGCAGTTTTAGCAATAATCTACATTCCTAAAACGAAAAAGAAAATAGTGATATGCCCTTGGCTCGCAGAGGGGCTTTTAGAACAGGGTTAATTCAAGACTGGTATTTCTGTTAGTTTGTGTCGTGTCTTGTCTCCGACTGGGACAAGAGCCTAGAAAGAAAGAATAAAAAATAAAGTGCAACTTCAACTCAAGCTGCAATGGCGGTCAGCATCCTCAGGCCGACGCCCTTGTCACTCGCCCCCATGCTGACTGCTCATTAGCACGGAAACACTCGACGAATGTTCACTCGCTGCTGCGTTGGTCCTTGGTCCAGGGTAATAGTGCCATTGTCGTGCACCGCAACGATGGTGAATGGCCCGTTAGCCACATTCCGGTGTTTGTTCTTTCTGTCTTTGGCTGGAATGCGAACCATCACGTGGTCGCCTACTTGGTAGAAGTGCTGTAGTCTGGTAGAGTTTGCACGGTCATTCTCTTGTAGAATAGCATCAAAGCGTTTCTTGCACAAGTAGTTCCAATTTGCTTCATAAAGCTTGCGAGTAATCAGATCTTGCCCAAATATCATGTTTGCAGGAGTAGTTCCCAGAATAGTGTGGTAGCTTGCACGTGCTGAAAATACAGCATACTGAAGTACTTTGCGCCAATCCGCCTCTGGGTTGCATCTGATGCAATTATTCAGCACCAAATGTACACGTTCACAGATAGCGTTCGCTTGTGGATTCTTGGCCGAGATCGCTTTCGGCTTGATACCGTAGCTTGCTAACATCTCTCTGAACTCGCTGGTATTGAACTCATTTCCCCTGTCAGAAATTACCGTTTTCGGACGTGGATATCGACACAGCCATGTCGTATCAAAGTTTTCCGCTGTTGTCCTTCCTTTACTGTCTGTTTGGATGGAAACCTCCAGCCAACGAGTTGCTTCATCGATTACAGTAAGGGCATACTGACGTTCAGCTCCATAGGGACCCATCGTGTCGACATGCACTACGTCGAACGGATCAACCATGTTCAGGTCTCTTGGATGGAGTTTGCCATATGCTTGTGGTCCTCCATGCAGTTTGGCTTTCTTGCACGTGATGCACTTCCTGCAGTACGTTACGATTGTCTTCTCCATGCCCGACCAGTAGAAATTAGCCCGCATGGTATGGAATTGTCGTTTTGATCCGGGGTGCAGCAAGTTCAGATGATACCAATCAACAAGTTCTTCGCGCATTGCATTTGGGATTACCACACGTTTCTGGTACGTAAGGAGTCTCGCCCCCATGGTGTTCTCAACTCGGTAGTCTGGGTCACTCGTGCCATTCACACACTTTTGCAACAGCACTTGTACCATCGTGTCTGTACTCTGGAACTGTTTGATATAATCTCCTTCCAACACACATTCGCCTTGTTCGCTGAACAGTGCTTCTGCTAAGCTGTGACCGTTTTCGTTGGACACGGATGTGCACTCCATGCGTGAAAACGCATCTGCAGCAATGTTCGATTTTCCTTGTACATATTCACATGTCAACCGGTACTCTGACAGTAAGAGTTTCCACCTTTTTACTCTTAGCGAATTCTCCGTAGGATAGATCAAGTTCTTGTGATCTGTGTGCACCACCACCGGGAATCCTAAGAGTATTGTTCGGTACTCTTTTAAGATCTCCACAACTGACAGTAGCTCGAGCTCCATCGTGGTGTAATTCCTCTGTGCCTCCGTAAGTGTTCTCGAAAAGCACGCAATCAACTTACCATCCTGCTGAATCAAACCACCTAATTGCTTACCACTCGCATCCGCGTAGATGTCAAAAGGTTTTGAAAAGTCAGGAAATGATAGAAGTACTGCTTCGGCTAGCGCTTTCTTGATTCCTTCGAATGCTTCATTCTCTGTCGAAGTCCACACAAATGTTGCTTTTGGCGACGTCATTCTCGTCAGTGGCTTCAACAATGCGGACTTGTGTGGAATCATCTCCCTGTAGTAATTAATCAGTCCTAAGAATCTTCTCAGCTCACGCTTTGTTCTCGGCGCTGTCAAGCGCGTTATCGCACTGATCTTCTTCTCTTGAGGCTGGATTCCATCCGCACTCAATGTAAAACCCAGGTAGTCCACCGACTTACAAAAGATATGACACTTTTTGCCATTAAGAGTCACATTGTACTCTTTCAGACGTTTTAGTACCACCCGTAAATGCTCCACATGGTCCTTGGCTGTCTTCGAAAAGATCAGTATGTCATCTAGATACACGATGACAAAATCAAAGTCACCCAGGATCTTCATCATGCTGGCCTGGTACTCGTCCGGAGCCGTAGATATTCCCATCGGCAGTCTCTTGTATTGGAACTTTCCCCATGGTGTACAAAAGGCGGTGTACTTTCGGCTTATTTTCGCTAATTGTCTAGCGTAATAGCCCATATTGGCGTCCAGCGACGAAAAGTACTTTGCTCCACCTAGTTTTGCTAAAACCTCTCGAATCAGCGGTACATAGTATGGATGTCTCTTCAAAAGCCGATTAAGCGCTCGAAAGTCAGTCAGCAACCGTAGTCTTCCGTCCGGCTTCTTTAAGAAGAAGGCAGGCGACGCCATCTCTGAGTCGAAGATTTGCTCAAGCACATCGACTGTAATCAATCTGTGTATCTCCTTGCGAGCTGCATCTTCCTCACTCCTCGGTACTGAGTATGGCCTCGCATGAACCGGTGTGAACGGCTCAACAATTGGTAAGACGTAATCCGGCAGCTTCATCTTGCCCAGATTCCCATTGTACAACATCTCAAAGCTAGCTAACAACTTCACGACTTGGTCGTACGTCTCTTGGTCGATGTCGGCATCGCCAATCAGGTCCATCGGTTTGACCGAAGTATCGTTAATGTCCTTGACCTCGTCAAGTATCTCCTTCAATTCTACAGGCAGGTGTCTTTTCGGCTTCTTGTCTGGCATCTCTTGATACGTCCCAGCATTGCCCATATTCACGACCACGGAGTTTCCGTTCCACTCCACCCTGCCGTCTCTGAAGTTCACGATGATACCCAATGCGCTCAATAAATCGCGACCAATGACCATCTCGTCCTTGGTGTTCTCAATCACTTCAAACTGATGAGTGATTCGTGAGCCATAGTTAAGGTCCAAGAATCTGAACTTCACAACCATAGTACCATCCGACTTGAGTTTACCGTCAACTTGCTCGAATGTCATGGTTGAAGGGGTCTTCTTGACTCCCAGCTGCTTATTAGCAGTCACGAGTGATGCGTTAATATAACTGGTAGTACATCCAGTGTCCAGTAGAGCTACTCTTTTCTCTTTCGTCTGCGAGAGCCGAATTCCCAGTCGCATTGGTCTACCAACGCTTTTAGACGCTTCATTCATCGCACTGGTGATTATTTTGCCTTCGCTCTCATCACTATAGTTGTAGTCCGACTCCGTGTCGTCCACCTTCGTCAGCTTTCGGTTCTCCGACTTCTTTGTCGCTGACTTCTGATTGTAGCTATTCTTGTCGTTCTTCTTCTGCGTAAAACACTCCTGGTCACTATGTGACGCTGTCTTATGCAGTTTGCACCACTTTCCACTTAGTTCTGCGTTGTTGCTCGACGACGCTTTGCTCGTGTGGTTATTATTCAACTTCTTATGGCTACTATTCTTGCCATGGTAGTTGCCGTACTGCTTATTCGGCTTACTCGCCTTCGGCTTGCCTTTGTTCTCTTGTCCTTCGCGTCGCTCTGACTGCTCAAGGCGCTCGAAATACTGCACGGATTGCGGCATACTACTGAATGTGATACCACTGCACTCGTACGCATGTCTCCAATCTCTCGGCATCGCACGCTTGAAGTACCTGATCATTGACTTGTCGTCCAAGTTCATGGGGTTCGTTGGCAAGTCTCGAAGCATGCGAGCAATCTCTCTCATGCGCCGGTGACACTGTGACACTGTCTCATTACGCCGCTTGGCGAACATGAACAAGTCTTCTTCCAACTGCTCATTGTATGCTTTGGGTACGTACGTCCGTCCCCACAACGCGTACGCCTTCGTAAACTGTGCCACACTATTCATATCCTTATCCTCGGAAGCTGTTTGCCACGCCTCCAGTGCCTCATTCTCCAGCACCAACTGCAAATTCAGGTCCTCCTCTTCTGGTGCCCACTTTTTGAGCTGGCACAGACGTCCAAACTTGTGACTCCACTTAAGCCAATCTTGGAGCTGTGCCTCCGCTGAAGCGAGGGAGTGAAATCTTCACGTACTCACGCTCCGTGTTGTACGTTGACTTCCGGTGGTTGTCACTTGAAATACCACGCCTTTGTCTGCGCGGATCATCTCGTCCATGGGCTTGGCTTTGGTCTTCACAGTCCTACAACTTATCCTCTAGTTCCGTCCGTTTACTTTGAACTAGTTCAAAGTGATATGCCCTTGGTTCGCAGAGGGGCTTTTAGAACAGGGTTAATTCAAGACTGGTATTTCTGTTAGTTTGTGTCGTGTCTTGTCTCCGACTGGGACAAGAGCCTAGAAAGAAAGAATAGAAAATAAAGTGCAACTTCAACTCAAGCTGCAATGGCGGTCAGCATCTTCAGGCCGACGCCCTTGTCAGGACACTGCATAATTCTTCGCCAATGGAATAGGCAGGTTGGGTTGGTCCAGTTGCGGACAGAATATACTTCGGTGGTCAGATACCGGCCTGAATAAAGGCTGAAGCCAGACGATTGCAGCGGGTGGGCTCATGCTCGTGCAGTCGGTGGTGAAGAATATCCTGTAGCTGGCGGACAGTCCCCGGTGTGACACGAAACGGGAAGC